CCTGCTGGTCCTTTAGTACTGTAAAATTGATTAATCTTCATCTACGGGCAGATATTTTTAATGCTCAAGTTGGAGCCATTCTCTCCCCTCAGTTTTTGTAGAAAGTCTCATTGATGGCAATCAAAATTTGAGGTATAGAAGAGCCCAGTGATTTAGAGTTCTCTTTGTTGATTATTTTTTTTTTTTGTCTCACTTGTTCATGGGTATGAAGCTCAGAAGAAACATAAAAAGCACAGAATTTCCTTCACCTTTCCTACTGCCTCAGGCTAGTGACAGACAAATCACAACAGCCTATGCATTTTAAAATTAGGGAAGATGACTAAAACAAACTACTTTATTTGACATAAGATTCCAAGTGCAGAGAAGCAAAGATCCATCTTCTCTACTGAATGCAGAGGCAAGGTGCTTTTTCCTTTTAGTAGTGTGAAGCAACTGCTTCAACCTCCCTTAACCACTTGACTGGTAGCTATTCCAAATAATCTCTAATAACATTTGTGAAATATTTTGCCTAGATACTGATGCTTTTGATGAATTATTCACCCATGCTCCTGACAAATTGGAAGCTGTAAAAGAGGTAACTTGTATTTTAAATACACGCTGACATTTACACTGTAAGATATAATTTATGACTTCACTGAAATATTTTTTTCTCTCTCTTCCCTTTCCTTTAGGTATTTTTGCAATTTGTCAACAAACATGTTGGAAAATTAGGATTAAATGTGAAGGATTTTGAAAATCAGGTAACACACTTTTTGCTGTATGTTAACTTGTCTGTAAGTTATGTTAATATTTCCCATCACCTCCAAAATTCCTGTATTTTTTTAATCTTGCCAAAAAAATACATAAAATCATTCCTAGCCTGAGGTAAAGCATATCAAACTTCAGTCGTGTAGCATTTTTTAGAGCCCATATGCTAAGCAATTGAAAATGAGTGTATTGTATTGAATACAGTACCCTTGTTTCAGTGATACAGGGTCTGCTTTTCAGAGGTGCTTGAACCCCTGCAGCTTCTATTGCCTGTTATTTCCAAAGTAAGTCATCTTTCTACATGCTCCTTGTGGGAGGAGGGTGCTTTAATTACAGCAGCTCTTGGGAGCCACTCTAATTAAAGTGCCTGCAGCATCTTGTTTATTCAGCATCCCTTGCTTCAAAATGGTGGTGGAGGTGCTTTAACTAAAGCTCATTGAAAGAGCTTTAGTCAAAGCACCCTTCCTGCCATTTTGAAGCCTGGGGCCCCTGAATACATGTGACACTGAGGCTGCTGGAGCGTGCTAATTAGCAGGCTCCAGAAGATTCAATTAAGTATGACGCATTCTAATTAGAATTAGCAGGCATTGGGCACATGTATAGGTGCCCTACTTGAGATTTAGGGATGCCCTACTTGAGATGTGGTAAGGAAGCTTATATTTTATAGAGGGTTGATCAACCATAATCTGAAAATCAGGCTTCTTTAAAGTACCTGAGGTTGAGCCCCCACAATTTAGCCTATCCAAAATTACTAGTCATTTATTCAATTCTAGGCCACAGTTTATGGAAATTCATATGTGAAAAGTTTACATCACATTATCAGTGTGGATGAGTTCAGCATGCTTGTGTCAGTGAAGAGAGATGGAATTGTAGCTGTGCTTCCTTTGCCCCATTTCCTTTGGTGTGACTAGCCACGTTGGGTGCACATAGAAGGAACAGCCTTGTGCTCTCTGGAGTACAGAATTAATACATTGAGATAAATTAGGGTGAGGGGATTTCTTGTGTTGTTTGTTTTTCCTCCTCTGTATGCACATGCAAGGATTTTAGAGCAGTGTAGGCCACAACTAGCATTTTGTTTAATTGATTAAACATGCTGTTGTGATGATAATTCCAGTGATTTGTGCTGATGGCTGAAGACTGAAGCATAAGCCATTATAATTCTATTGACTTTTCCTGATGGAGATGAGTTATAGGAATGGAAGTTCTGGAAGGATTACTGTCAAGTAAAAATAAGGGCTCTAATACTGTATAAATAAGGGCTCTAAGTACTAAATTATGACATTTTTTTTATTACTAATGCATATTAGTGTTTTTCTATAGAACAGCATTTACCGTATTTATTAAATACAAGACAGGGTTTTTTCTTCCATTCAGTATGGGGTTGGAAAGGGCCTTTGTCTTGGATCTGAGTACAAGCTGGTGGGGTAGGGAGGGGGGAAGGGGAAGGACAGGCAGCAGCTGCAGCGCCAATTCCACGCCTAGGCTCAGAGTCAGAGTTGGAGGCATAGCCCCTGCTTCCCCCCCTGTAGCCTCTGCTTCTCCCACCACTTCTTGTCACCACCCTCCCACTGCTGCCTCTGCCTCACTGCCACATACCATCCATCTTGGCTCTAGCTCCAGTCTGCTCTGGCACAGGGTGCAGAGCACATGCTGGCTCTCCCTCTACCCAACCAGGTAGAAGCAGTTGCATCAGCAGTGGCTCTTGCCCCAGTCCTGGCCTCAGCCCTGGCTCTAGCTCTGAATCCAATGGAGCAGTGGCAGAGGGGCAGGCAATGCAGGGGACAGGCAGCAGGTTGGGCCAACTGGGAGGTGGGGCAGGTGGCAGCCAGGGTAGCCAATCGGGGATGCAGGCACAGGGGTGGCAGCCCACATGGGGGTGGGGAAGTGATGGAGGGCCAAGGGGCAGGTCACTTGATGCCCCTACCACCTGTCTCCTCACTTCCTGCCCCACTGCTGCTGGTTGCCTCATTGTGGTGTTAATGGGGGGGTGGGGGTGACAAATTGAAGATGACCCTGCAATAATTAGATTCTATACATGGAAAAATTATAACAAATTTATACATTTTCAAGGATAGAGTCTCATTATTGGGAGTTGTCTTAAATTTGAAATTGTCTTGGATTCAGGTAAATATAGTATCTTTTGATTCAGGAACTGTTAAAGGCCAGTTTAATATATAATATGCATCTTTATGTATTATTTATTATAGTTTGCAGATGGTGTCATCTTACTGTTGTTAATTGGACAACTTCAAGGTTTTTTCTTGAATTTAAGGGATTTCTTCCTAAATCCAAGTTCTGAAACAGAAATGGTAGGTTATTTTTATGTACTTAACCTGCAAACACCTTATGCACTTGCTTCTTTATGCCCGTGAATAGAATAATTGAAAATACTGGTTCTACTGATGTATATAATGTTAAACATGCATAGGCATGTTTTCTGGATAGCAGGCTTGTCAGCAAACAGGAGAGTCATGCTATATACATTGATTTGAAAGCTGACAGAGATACCCTTCTTAAAGGCTGTACTGAAACCAGCTATGACCCTACAAAATGCAAGCTATTGTAAGATGCATTTGTTAACAAGATAAATACAAATGTGTGAATATGAAAGCAATGTTAGACTGACAGCCCTAGAAACTGAATCTCCTACTTACTCACAGAACTCAAACAATAGTACTGAGCCTATACAAAGTCTATTGCGTGCTTCCAGAGCTGTGCTATAGACATGAGCTAAAGTCATTCCCTATCTGCACTAAGTGATTTTCTTAATATCAGTTCATTGAACCTGTTAGCCAAGCTGAGAACTCTGGTCTGGGATAGATGATGTGTTTACATTGAGTGTAAACCAAAAATGGACACATAGCATAAACATCTATACCAGTGTAACTCACATAAGTCCAGTGTAGCATTACCTTGGGAGAAAATGGGTAAAATTGTGCTGGTCTGTTACCGCAGTGTAGATGCCATTTGTACAAACAAGCAGCACATGCTCTCCTGCCTTCTGTGATAGCTCCTCTCATGAGCACCTCCCCTGAAATATCTGCTTTTTATTAGAGGTGTACCGATACATTGGTCTGATATTGGATTGGCAACGATATAAAGAAAATTGATTGTATTGGAAATCGGCCTGATGTGGCCGATAATTTGGCTGATAAATGCCCCATGCGTGCGTGCAGCTGCAATCCAGCATGTAGGCAGCAAGGAAAGGGGCAGGGGTGGGGGGCAGATCAAGGTGGTGAGGGAAGGAGTGGGTCTGGGGTAGGGGCTGGTGCAGGCACTGCCCAGCTGAGGCAGGGTGGGCATGAGATGGAGCTGTGGCTCATCTGGGGGGTATAGGGAGGGGGGGCAGCTCCTGCGGCTGTGTATACCTCAGGAGGGCATAGGTAGGTGTGCCCCCAGATCAGTGTGGGGCATGGGCAGGGTGGGCTGCAGCTCTGGGCTGGGGCCAGGGCTGTGCCAGGCTCTTCCCAGCACATGGCAGGTGGCTGGTTGGGTTGGGGCTGCACTCAAGGCAGACGGCAAATTTTGGGGTGGCTGCAGCTCCCCCCACAACCCCTCTCCCAGTACCGCCACCACCCACCCCGAGCAGCACAGCCTGGCTCAGCCCCTCACCAGGAAGAGCCTGGCGCAGCCCTGGCCCCAGCCCACAGCTGCAGCCCCCCCTGCCTTTCCCCATGCAGACCTGGAGGCACACGCCCCACACCATGCCCTCCCAGGGTGTGCACACTGTTGGGAGACACCCCCTGCTCCCCGCAGATTAGCCACAGCTCCATCCTACACGTGCCCTGCTCTGGCTGGGCAGCACTGCCCCAGCCCCACTCCTCCCTCACTGCAGGGGCCTTGATTTTGCCCCTCCCCACCACCCCTTCCCTCCTCCCTCCCCTCCCGCAAGCAGCTCATTTATGGGTTGCAGGGACTAGGGGAAGGTGCCTTCTGCTTCTGCATGCACTCTCAGGCAAGCATGGGGTGGGTGTACCCCCGGGACCTGTGCGCGGGGCGAGGGCAGGCTGCTGCTGCAGGCTTGCCCCAAGTGTCAAACTTAGTTGCTATGGTACTAATTCCAGTGTAATGTTCATTGGTGTACAATGCTGCTGAGTTGCCAGTTACTACTATTTTGTCGGTTGGTGGATTTTGTATGTGGAAGTCTTCCCACTGTAAACTAAACTGAGGTTGCTAAACTATTTCATATGAGCCTCTGAATAGTTCTGACATCGGGTCACTTCTGACTTAGGCTATATTCAAGCCAGGTACCTAAAAATAAGCATCAGTTAATTCTGTCTTTTAAAGATTGGCATACAGCAAAGGAAGCCTCTTTTGGCCACAGCTTAAAAGTAAAGTTTCTTTTCCCCAAAAAGATCTGTTTCCACACTGCAAATATAACCACTCTTTGCTTTCCTGCAACATTACATATTTATAATGAAAATGTCCAAAAGATCATTAAAAAGTGAGAAATACGAACAACCTTTTGACCCAAACATCTCTAAATGCATTTGCATTTATTGAATTTTTTTGTCCAAATTTTCTCAATGAAAAATAGCTTTTTGAGAAATTGAGGGGGGAAAAAATGTACCACTTTGATCTTCTGATGCTTTGACAAATATATTCAAAACAAACCGTTTTCTTTCAAATTAATTCAAACAAAACTTTTTTATTTGAATGAAATTATCAAATTTCACCCCCAATTCAATATTCTCCTCCCACTGTGAAAATTGTTCATCCAGTTCTATTCAGTCAGAAACAAAACATTTTAATTTCAAATAATTTGATAAAAAATGAGATTGCCTCATGAAAACAACTGAACAAATGAATATTTTTTTATTCAAAATATTTTAAGATTTTTTTTAAATTGCCCCTTTTAATTAATAACATCACACAAATATTATGTAAGAGAGGTTTCTTCCCCCACTTTACAGTGATAAATCATATAGTAACTAAGTGGCAGAGTTGGAATTAGAACCCAGAAATATTGCTTCTTATTTCTAGCCTTGGACCATTGTACCTTACTTTCAGACAGGAATCTACAGAGGGTGAGACTGATTCTACTACCATACCGTATGTCTAAAGAAATTTCATTTCAATAATGTTGATCTCAGGCTAGGTGATCTACTAGGTGATCTACTAGGCTTACTTTTGAATGGTTAGTCAAAGCATTTTTTTTTTCATTTCTTGTACATTAAATGATATTAAAAATCAGATAATGATAAAAAGAACTCTTACTACCCTAGTTCAGAGACTTTACTTTCATGTAAAACCCTTGCTCCAACCTCATTGTATATTCTAACTTCCCAACGCTTTAGAAATTAATTGGTACAGCAGAACATGACAATGTAACCTGTACTGCAAAACTCCTCTGAGATTTTAAAATATGTCATTCCTGTTATAAAGCAGTGACAACTAGTCACACCATAATGATGTTAATGGTATATCATCTTTCATTCAAGCTGAAATATGGTAGCTCAAAGCCAATAGACAACTTGTATAACTCAAGCACAGGAAATTAGGATGGGAGCTAACGATGGAAAAAATGGAGAAAAATCTGAGAAATAAAGCAAAATTTATGTGAAGCATTATAGGATATAGTAATGTAATTTCAAAAGAAACCAGAAATGTATTGCAGCTGGATCCTTGCGTAGCACAGATCATATGTACTTGGATCTCTCTTATTCTTTAGGTCAATGGCTATTGCTGCCTACTCATACCTGGGGACTCTGTGGATGATGTAGTCTCTGATCTCTTGCTTCACCATCCCTGTTGTATTAAAGATGACACTAATTTTTCCCTCCTGTCCTGTATTATGAGAGGAGATAAAAGCCTCACCTATTGTTAAGGTTGTCTAATGCTTCACAGTGTAAGACCCCTCTTGAACTATTTGGCTACAATTAACCAAGTATTTTTTTTCAACTACGGTGATTATGCTGTTTTTAAGAATGAAGTTATGGAAAAATATATCATTACCCAATGTCAAAAGAAATTCTGATAACAGTTTTTTTTGAGGAGTTCCTGGGCTCTCATGCTTTCAAGCAGAGGGTTGTTTTTTTGGTGTCCCTATGAAAAACTGCCCACGTGTGGGCAGAGTTCTGAAAATTAGTTTGCACATGCACAGTAGAAACTTTTTTAATTTGGTAACTACGTTCTCTGAAAATTACATCAGCACCAGTGGGTACCATCCCCTGACAGAACCTATGTGCTAATGCTGTGTGGGTGTCATCCTCACAGCATGAATAAGCATACTTCAACCTCAGGCCTGAAGAGGGAGGACTGCTTTTCCTCCAATTTATTCCACCCAGGAGCTAAGGGACATTCTGGAACTGGGCACCAGAACTGAGAGCACTGAGCATAGGCTTTTCACTTAGTGATTCATATGATGATGGACCCAGACAGGATGAAGGTGAAGGAAGGGAAAAAAAAAAACCCATGCTGGAATGCAGGAAGGTGAAGAAGAAAGTTTAGGAATCAGAGGATGAAGAAGAGCAGAGGGAGAAGAATAAGAGCTGGAGGGAGCAGCAGCAGAGGATGAAGGCATCAGGACAGGAACAGATGGAGAGGCAGGCAGAAATCAGGACAACTTGGGGGGAAGAGGTGAAGAGGAAAAGATAGGGACAGGGCATGGAGTTGGGGCAGGGAACAGAGGCATGTGCGTGGCAGGATGCATGATTTTGGGATTGAGGATTGGATCCCAATCATGCCATTACTACTTGCCAGTGTAGGGGGAGCCTAGGATCATGATCCTGGGCTCCCCGTACGCCAGCTTGTTGAAATCCGTATGCCTGGTGAACCAGTGTGGTCCCAGGGCTAGGAAAATAATCAGCTAGTTGTTGGTCCCAGGGCTAGGACCATAATATAGCCAGTTTGAGACTCCGGTGGTGTCTCAAGGTTGGAACCAGCAATCAGCTGATTGTCAGTCTTGGCCCTGGGGCTGTACTGGAATCTTCAACTAGAGCCCCATGCACTGGGATGTCAGAAAACCATGTGTAGGGGTGGGCTGCACATGCAGTTTTTAAAGGTCTTGATGCACAGGGACCCTAGGACCAGGGAACCTCTCCTCATTCCAGGGTCGCTATGCCTGGGATGTATTAAATGCCTTGCTCCACAACTCCCTGGGAGCTCTAAGGCAAAGCAGTCAACCTTCCAGATCATGGGGATGCCAGTGGCTCCCCACAATCTGGCATCCCTGGCCCAGCTGATGAGGTCCCCTGTCTCAGCACCCTGAAAACAGTGTGGGACAGCTCCATCTAGGGCTGCACCACAGGGTTGTCAGCCTGTTGACATGAAAGGGTCTGTCAACTAAGATCCCCCATGAAGCCAGCAT